AGAGTTTTATTTTAGGCGTATAACTCGCGTTAACAACAGACGATACATGTTTAATGTTTAACAAATTAAATTTGGTATCAACATGGCCTCTGGCCGGTATATAACTTATCAAAGTACAAAGTGTAATAACCAAGTTCGCTGAATCCGCGAAGACTTTGAACGACTTACCGAGTTATTGTTTTCGAGAATCTAATTATGCCTAATGATGCAATTCATTGCTATTCTGAAGGGCTCATGGCTCAAATTAATCTTATTCAGACGATTCCTAAAAGAGCTAGTTATGTAAGTCATTAAAAATATTAGAACGCAATTTACAAGGCGATAGCTGATAAACATGCAAATAATCGTTATAGACCATATATTTTTGATCACATCTATACTAATATATAAAGCTGAAGAGTTGTTTGTTTGAACGCGCTAATCTCGGTAACTACGGGTTCGAATTGAAATGAATGAAATATTTTTGTGTTGGTTAGGAGATGTATCGATGAAGGCCTATGTATAGCCTATAATAAAACATCGCGCTTTAACTAAGTAATAGAAGCGAAGATACAGCGTGAAAAGTGAACAAAACGGGGGAAATTCTTCATCTCTGTGCTGTTGCTGCAGAACGGTTCGAGATAACTAAAAAATTTGTACGAAAGAATTATTTCTCTTTAAATGATCTAAAAAAAGTCCGTGACGCTATTTATATTTTATCTATATTTTAAGCTTGCAAGAACAACGGGAAGGGACGCGATCGACGTCGTGGCTAAAAGCTAAAGTTTATAAAGATGACGGGGTTCGCAAAACCTAATTTGGATGCCCAAAAAGACGAAGTCGCTGGCACAGCTAGTTATATATAAATGTAGTATATACACACACTACATAATATGCATATATAACAAATATTTTTTTTGATAGAGGCCATCCTCTATCATAAAAAAAGGATCATGGAATCAATCATAGAAAAAATCAAGGAGCAATCAGAGGAGCATAGGAGCATAGCAGGGTTCACTTATTGGTAGGTGAAATACCCCAACCGTATAATATCTAACCAAGATGCGATGTAGACTTTTTTTTTGGATTTGCATAAGAAACAGAAGGACTATTCTTGATTGCGATCTAAACGGAATTTCAATATTCCTACCACCCATTTCCAGGTTACCAGACGAAGTTCAATAAATAAATTTACAAGAAAAAAGGACCCGCTGGGAATCGAACCCACGACCTGTTGCTTAGAGTAACATCACCATTACATCAACGAGTCCGTCAAACAATTAATAATATTAATTTAGAACCAACTGATCTATTGCCCATAAGCACAGTACACCTTTATTCTTGGGTCTGTCGATGTGAAGTTTTCAAAATATATTTTCGTTGTGTACGTGTACTATATGCTTATGCATATATGGTTATATTTCAATATTATTTCCTCCTGTAAATTCGATGTTTTTTTTAACCGGTTTATTTGCGCACTGTGTCACTTCATTGTGTATATATATGATAATAATGATTCTTTGTTTTCCTGTGTGCATTTAATCCTTGCCATCTTTATCATATACATATTTATGTAGCAAAGGAAATATCTCTTTGTCTTCATAAATAAAAACAACATTTATTGTTCAACAATAATCGTCGTTCGAAATAGGCCCATTTTGCCACACTTTGCAATTTTGGGCCTGTGTCTTATCTTACGTCATCCTTATCAGGTAAATTGTCTGCCCTTGTTTCAATTCACGCTATAATTAATTTAGTCCATGTTCTTTTGTTTCTCTTAGTATGATGAGTCCCGTCAGTTTCCATTTTTATTTCCGTATAGTTGTTCTTAGTCTCTTAGACTCAGTCAGTCAGGACCTCTCATATTTAACGCAATGCTAGGCAATGCGATGAACCCTTGAGCTACAGCGCCAAACAAGCATCTCTATCGAAACTAGTTTCAGAAGCCATTTTATATGTTGAAACATTTTTTTAAATTGACAGATTCCTTGTTTTAAAATTATAATTTTCACGCGACTGTCTGCGGCCAAGTCTCTATGACTCACTTGCACGACACAAAGAACTTGTTTGTTTTTTTAATTATCGCCCGAGTATAATAAACGTGAAAGTGTGGTGAGTTTCTCAACGAAATTTGCACCAGTTTTACAGGTATATGCGTGGAAAGAGTATTTCTTTATCTTTAGACTTAAATGTTGGATAACCTAAGATCGCTAGTCAAACTTAATAATATTTACGATGTATCGTTATCGAAACTGATGGTTAAATTTTATAATAAAAAAAACAACCTGTTTTAAATACATTCGGTGAATGCAATATTGTTTGTAGTTTACACGAGTAGTAAGTACACATTTAAATAAAACACTTTTAACTCTCTATATTAGTTAACTTATTTACAATGTATTTTAACTACGGCCCGACGTTTCGGATATTTTCCAGCAGCCGTGGTCACGGGGAGACTCAAATTGTAAATAAACTCTTCACGTTTTAAAGTGTTAAATTATAGTCAGTCTAATAAATAAAATCGGTCAAAAGCGAATCGGACTCGCGGAGAAATTTTAAATTATAACCTTTTTTACTCGTTACAAGTAAGAGACTTTCTATTTTTTAGGCAAGAGAAACACATTTTTTTAAATTCAAAGTTCTAGCTATTCTGCCTAGTGACAGAAAGTCAGGACAGCGAACATTTAATTTTAGGGTTCTGCTTTATGCGTTGGGTACGGAATTCGAAAAATACGTAATATTCACGGCTTCAAAGTTGGTCTAAATCATATCTCACAGCTCAAACACAACAATGTTTTATTTTACTGCCTACATATATACACAAATATGCGTATAAAAGACGTTTATCTTTAAAACAAGGCGTCAGCTGTTAAACTGCATTGAACTGTAAAATTTCCAACATACAACATTTAATCTTTGACCTCCGCACCCGATCATGTGTGTATGTTGTTATAATGACGTGACAGTACGCCAACTATCACGACGTTATGTATGGAGAAGTGACGGTTATGTTAATTAATTGTCGCTATCAGTATTTTATCTGTTCCTTTGCATATGCCAAATAATTTCGAGTAATTAATAATTATCGGCTTTATCTTCATATTTATACATATCGCGCAGAAGGCGAGTTTACGAAGTCTTTTCAAAAATCACGTCAATATTTTATTGAACAGTGATATTCACTATTTTAGTGATGTGAAATCTTTATTTCGTTTGTGATTGTTAGTATTCTATTATATTAGGTGATTAACATTGCCTCTTTTCAGTGGATATTACGTCTCTTTATAGATAACCTTATCGATCTATCGGTTGATGAAATCTATATAGACGAAACAAGATGCGAAGTCGGCCTATTTTGGCCTTGGATTGTCGGAAATCCTTACAATGAAACGAGATTTAGCAGCATTTTGTGACCCGGACGGAATTTCGATATTCCTACCGCGCAATAAAATTCAGATTAAATACTGTCTATAGTTTACGCGAGTAGTACACATTTAAATAAAACACTTTATCGGTTTAAAACGCGATATATTAGTTAAACTTATTTGGAAATGATTTTTAACTTTGGCCCGACGTTTCGGATGCTTTGCAGCAGCCGTGGTCACGGGGAGACTAAAGATGGAGGATGTCTCTGACGTCAAAGTAAAAATTTGCTATGCTAGCGCCATCTGTTCCGTCGACGTTGGTATTTGGCGAAACTGGCCGGGTCCTTGCAGAATTGACTAACGGTGTCTTCGCGTTTGCCGGTATGCTGTTTAATCTCTGGATCCCAATAAACTTAAAATTATTGGGATCCATAGTTTAAACAGCATACCGGCAAACGTTTAACTAATATATCGCGTTTTAACCCGTTAAAGTGTTTTATTTTAAAAAATCAGATTTTCAGAAAAATTATAAATTCATTTTGGAAGCATGTTGGGCCTTGTGAAAGTCGAACCCACGACTCGTTGATTACGATGTTGATTGCCAATGCTTCTAGTACCGATAATGCGAACTTACTGGTAAATAAATAATAAAATAATACGGAAATCGTTTCATTTGGCAAATTACTAGCACAGACGTAAAGTTAAACACATTGACTCATAATCGCAAATGTATTCCAATATAACGGAATTGCACCGGTCGTACGTTGTGATGATATAAACAAACGCATTGTTGATATCTATTCGTTTTTTGTTCTACATCATTGTTCAATTTAATCCTTTTCTTTGTTGTGCGCACGTCTTTACGTTTATCTGCTCAAGGATTTTTTGGTCTTCCGCAGTACGGTTCCAATAAATTAGTGTTATTTAGGATAACACATTAGTATTATTATTTCCTTGATATTCATATTGCCATGGATTGTAATTATTAATGATTATAACATTGGTGTCATTTTTAACTACTTTACGATGAAAACATTAATATTTTTCACATGTTATTGCACATGAAGGCACTATATAATTTAAAAATGGAAAATAAATTGAAAAAATTTTCGACTCGGCAACAGCACGGAAAGCTGACGATGCCGGCTCAAGTCCCGCCCGAGTCGAAAATTTTTTCAATTTATTTTCGATTTTTAAATTACTTTACGATGCTTTGATGTGACTTTTTGCACTTGATAGCTTAAAAAATTAAAATTCTATTTAACATTTAAAGAACGAATGAACCTAAAGTGTTGACTACCCCTTTATGGATCCACTTTATGATAACACAATTTGCAAGAACTCAAAGTTAACGCTCACTATCTCCGTTACATCACCTCAAACAAACTCCGCACTTATGTGAACAATGCTCATTAGTTTATCTACATGTAGGTCGTCATTGTTTTCATTCGGCACATGCTGGCCCTTATCTATCACGCTATTCTAAGTCCAAGTCTTTTGTTATCAATGTCTCTGACTTCTCGCCTCGCGTTACCCAGTCGTTCGTCGATGGCGACGGGCGCTGGACGTGGAGTCGTACTTTCGTACCCTTCGTGAGAAACTAATAGAGATATCGACTATTTTAGCATAGACCCCCAGTGAAGTGTAGTGGAACATATGAGTGTGTTCAATTGGACGGGTAATGTAAACTCTAGTGCTGAGATGGATACGATGAACAATGTCTGGACGGCTGTGGAGAATGTTCGGGTGGCTAGCAGCGCCGCCGAACTGGCCATCTTCACGGCTCTGCTCTATTGGTTCTTTACGTCAAGGTGCGTTTTATATATTTTTAATACTTACTATATAGGTATACTGAAGGTTCAAAAGTCTTGCATGAAACCAAAACAAAAGTCAAAATATTTTATTCAACCATATAACTATTTAAATATATTACACTCACACAAATAAATATATTATACCTAAGTAAACTTGAAAATTTCTACGAATTCTTTAAAATTATAATTAATTATCTTTTTATTTATTTTAATCTGTTTTTTGCTACGTGTCTATACACGTGTTTCTAATTGAATAAGTTGTATTTTTCTTCTTATTTCTCCGAAGGTCTTGTAAAAACTGTGACTTGGAACATATTATTTTGATACATAACCGATCTTCAGAGAGTTTTGAGGTACGCTCGTCTAATATATTTTTATTACATAAATATTTAAATCATATTTTTCATTATGGAAGTGTATGTTCAAATATCGTATTGTTACACGATAGCACTGTCAAGGTTGATAATTAATTATTATTAATCATTACTAAATGAAGTCGTAAATTTGTCGTAATAGTGCAATATTTTGTTTCATAAAAAATAGCAATTTACACTTACTTTTAATTAAAAATACATAGGTCTTACATTGTATTCGGAAAAAATCGCATACCAAGAGCTGAAAGAAACATATAGGACAAAATAAAAAAGTAACGTAAGGAAAATAATTCTATGTATATATATAGCTACTAAGTTAAAGAAAAAATTGTTTTTTGTCGAACTGTTTAATGACATCGTTCTCTGTTTTAAGTCAACTCCCTATGTATTTTTTTAGACAAACATTTAAACTCCACGCTCGAACGCTTGACCACTTGTTACTGTCCGGTTTTTATTTACATATTTAAGTATGTCTATGGTAATTTTGTACACATTATGCATTCAATAAGTGCCTTATTTTTTTTCTTAAAATTAAAATCGTTAAATAGAGACAGAATATTGCGGAGAGAAACTTTCAAATCAATAAAAAGTATAACATAGATGTGCCAAAATAAATCAAGCTGATATTAAATATTTATGATTCGTATTTTCTTTTAACGGATTAAAACGCAAAATATATCAGTTAAGTTATGAAAGGTGGACGCGCTTCTTCAAAAGACATTCTAGTTTTCCTATTTTCTTCTCATTGTCCAGCTCTAAATAAAACACTTAATGGTTTAAAACCCGAAATATATTTTAATAAACGTTGGTGCGAAGTCCAATTTAAAATAAGTCAATATTATTTCATTTTCAAACTGTCAACTTTTTTCTTTTTATCTTTGTTGTAATGTTCCTGAAATTTACTCTATTTGGAAGGCAATTTGGTCGCAGGCTAAAAATATTATTATTTATAACAAGTATTAAGATCAATGAAGTCGGTCTGTACAATATAACTAACGGATATACAACAAAGAGACCAATTGAAATAAAATTGAGCACCGCTACGCAGCCCCTTGCTGTGTCATAAAGCACTTAATAGGATTACATTAATGCGATGATGAAAAGGGAATTTTAAAAGGGACTATTTGATACCTTGGGCATCTAAAAATAGTATTTTTTCTGGAACATAGACATAGATATACATCAACGACTTAGGCGATGCAGGACATGTAATAATTGACATAAGTCTATCAGCGTGTTAGGTCGCGTATAACATACACATTTACAGATTTTGATTAAAATTTCGTTTAGTATAACAAGCCACGTAGCGAGATTCATGAGTCCACGGTAATTTTTTTTTTTGACTTTTTGATATTTGAAGATGTAAATAATCTATTTAGATAAAAGAAAATACAGATGGGACTTGAGTCGGCATCAACGGCGTTCAGCTACTGTGTTAAATTCCCTGTCGTAATTTTTTTAAATCTTTTATATTAGAATTTTAATTTATATAATATGTTAAAATTATTTATGCGTAAGTAATTGTGAAACTATATTACTTCTGGTTAGGAGGAATAATAGGAAATTTGAATTTCGATTTCTTTAGGCGATTTAGTATTTCTTTCTTATTTAATTATTATTGGGCTTACAAATTTACTCAAAACATCGTTTAGGTTTTGTAATTTGTAATGCCATTATTGTAACGGGCTCGCTGGTATAATCAACGGGTCATGGGTTCACCGGGTCCAACATGTGTCTAATAAATTTATAATTTTTCTAAAACATGTTAGTCTTCATCTGGAAATCTGGATTTTAAATGGGCGGTAGGGAGATCGAAATTCCGCCCGCGTCACGAACTACCGTCCACAGATGAAAAAGTGTTGAAGTTTAATCGCGTTTCGAGTTTGTTGATTTCCGAATATCCAAAGACAAAATGGATCGACAGCACATTTTGTTTAGATGTTACATGGGTTTGATATTTCGCCTTCCATCGAGTAAACTCCATGCTCGTCCTCCATCTATAAAAGACATACAAAATAGCTTTTTCACATTACAAATAATAAATAAAAAGATACTAATTGATTTAATTACGGTAGCATAATTAACGGCTTTTGAAAATCTCGCAGAAAAACGCTATCGTTTTTAGCACGATAGCGTTTTTCTACAAAACCGGTTTGGTTCAAAATGTTTGTATAAGCTATTGTGATTGCTTTTTATTCAATACTTCGAACATCCCATGTTTACTGCGCAGTTAAAATTGTTAAGAACGATGTTTAATCTTCAATTTATAAAGAAACGTAACTTTTGTAAATATTTAATGATTTGTTATGAATTATTTATAACTAGCTGACCTGACAAACATTATTTTGCCATATGAAGTGTTTCGACCAACTTTGATTACCATAAAAATGTTTCTTGTCTGTTATTTAGATTATTTAAGGAGTAATAATTATTTTGTATATATTTTTTGTATCTTGAATCATTTTTGCAGCACGCACAAAGAAAACTGTTAAAATTCCACATTTCCCACGGTTTCTTAGCTTAAGTTTTCCTTGCTATATAATGCATCTATCCGACACAAAAATCCTGAGATGAACGCGTTCAAACTCTTCGGCTTCATAATATTTGTATAGATAAAAACACACTTAGCTGATGAAGAAATATCATCGAACCATCGTCTAGTTTTTACATGATGCAATGAAAATACGGGCTAAAAGAAAATATTTTTGTTTCAGCCGTGTAGCGGATATGCTGGAAGTGGTGGGGGAAAGGGTGGGCGGATGGTGCGGTCGCGACTCCACCACCTCTTTGCGCCAGGCTGTTCGCGCACGGAAACGTCACACGGATGTCTACGCTAAACTTGACGCTGAAATCACGGTTAGTATTAATATAAAGCTCAAAATAACTAAGCTGGGTAACCTGATAAGATGGGGTATGATGCTGACATATTTTAGTAACGCTATTTAGCTGTTTAGAATTCTGTGCCCATCCAGTCTGATCGAAATTGTCCAATAAGCTTTTTACCCAGGAGCTCTTGAGCTGGACTCATTGTTAGGCACACGTCATTAAATCTCGAAGGCGGTTGGTACTTCATATAATCTATCTACTGTTATACTTCTTGTTTCAATAGAAAAACCACATTACTCCATTTACGCTTAAGTGGAAGTAAAATTTACCGAAGCGAAACTAAAGTTACTCTCTAATTATGCAATTCGAAAAAAAAGGAAATAATTTCTATAATTCTTGAGTTTCTTGTTGATAATCTTCAGTTTCCATCTTGTTAAAATACTATAATAATTTGTTTAAACAGTTTTTATTATAATTTAGCTCTAAATTGTCTCAGTTAATTCAATTGTTGAATAGTATACTTTCAGAAGAAGAGTATTTTTCTATTTTTTTTACTTTGTCTTCAACTTCTAACTGATAGGACATAGTTAAAAGTACTTACAACCCTATTATTTGACAACGATTTTAAATCATATTTTAAAGAAAGATCTTTGTATATAAACAGTAACTAAAAATTTCAGTCTAGAACGTCATCACTGTACCGGATAAAGAATGGTCCAGTTGTGCCCCCACCGCAACCGCAGGTCAGACCACCAGCTGGATTGGCCTGTGCAAGATGCGCTCCTTTGTCCAGGGTAAGTTCAAAGTTTTTCATGACTGTAACCGTATCTTATGATGCATCTCTGTTATTTTCTTCTTTCTAAATCATCCCCGTTCGTTCCCTACCTTTCTTTTAACGGTTAAAAAAATTTGAGTTATATAGTGAGGAAGCTATTGCATTAAATTTATTTTTCTTTAATAAAAACCATATTACCGACAATATGATAAAGGTACTAATCATTTCCTTTCAAAGTATTGATATCAATAATTGTATTGCTTCGTTTAATTTAATAAATAAACAATATTTTTTCAATGACAAATCATTTCAATTGATTTTTATTTTCACTATCAAATGCACAAAGAACTTATTAAAATAAATGTTACATACATTAAATGTATCGTAAAAGTAAACTCATGTAAGTGTATACTATACGCATTTGCGTCTAAATCTTTCAATTTTCTCTTTTTTGGTTTAAAAAATATGTATTATACCTTCTAACGGCATGAAATGTGAAACTTACAGTTGCTGCTAAACAAGTTAAAAAGTAATAACTTTCGCATCTTAAACAGTTACTGTTTTACTTAAATATGGACTGCTCGCATAATCGCGATAACATAGCGTTACTTTTAGAAGATTTGTATCCTTGATTCTGTTTTTGAAATACGCGACTTTTGCTGACAGTGTTATTCGTCACAGTCAGGTTCGTCCCATTGTGCATCGTAACTTTATTAAAGTACCTACAACACTCAAAGTTATTGAAAACCTTAGCGTAAATAATGCCTTATTTACTGCGTAATACATAGAGTGCATTAACCTCGCAACTGCGTGCTTTATAGTTTTGATAGTGACAATTTACTTTCCTCGCTGTCCTTTGTACTCTTGATATTGTTTGCATTGTTGTGTACAGCCGCTGTCCGGCTTGAAGGACCTAGATAATGTTCGTACATGATAGCTCTTCTGTAGAATAATAACTAAATATGAGTTAATGCAATTTTTAATGAATTTGTTAAGCGATTATATTTTCCTTTGACTACTTATTTTGGCCCTTTAAAATTCTTTTCATAGGAAACTATTTTCGTATGAATGTGACGACGCTATTGCAGAGGTAATTTTATATTCTTTAACGCGTAGTGACTCAATTTAAAAGACAATGAATTACCTTACCTTAAAGTATTTTAAGAAAGTATTTTTGCCACTTGATTATAGTGTCTTTGTCTCAATTTCACGAACTCATTTGGAACGAAGAAAGAGGCCAATATAGTATTAAATAAAGACAAAAACTCTTCTAACATAATTTAATTATTAATTAACAATGTCCTCCTATATAAGTCGCAGGCGGTTAAAAATACAAAAACAATAATTGTCCGATTCTCTTTAAAGAGCTTTTTGTTCGTTAACTACTAATTTGGATCACACGATGCAGGGTCATTGCCAAAGTGCTTTGACCGCAGCTACGGCGGTTCTGGTGTATTCAGTCTTTACCAGGTCGTCAAAGCTATCGCTATAATTTGGTTTGTGTAAATATTGTATGTAAACAATTCTTTATTAATGAATTTGAAAGAAATAATCTTTAATACATTTTACTGCCATCAAAGTTTGCCAAAATTATGCAATAAACACATTATCACACTAGATTTATATGACACAATATTTTATCTGCGGTACATAAAACTCCGATTTGCGATACGCACTCGATTGTAAGTACTTCGGATGGGTATTATAAATTATTTAGATAATCGTGGTATTTACGTAGACATAAAATGGAGATTAGTGAACCAATTAGAAGACCAACAGATATAACACATAAATTAAACGTATTGTAATGTAAAGCAATACCTCTAAGGTTTCAAAATGTGTGACGAGAATATCACAATAATTAGAATAGGTACAATTCAAGGTAATTCTACATTCATGGTAATCTGTATTATAAATAATCCAAACGAGGTACTAATAGATCGGCTCATTGACGATTTTAATACATGTAGTTTTGAATTTTTACGTTTAAAAAAAGTGTCTGATGAATTATTGATTACTGAGAAAAATTAATTTAAATTATTTTTGCTTTTTTTTATCAGAAATTGTGAAACAATCCTCCATGTTTATTGTCATTTTTATTGAAGGTGACCTAAAAACAATGGATTTCATTAATTCTGGATTCTAGATTTCTAGTATAAACAGATTTTAGAAATTTTTAGTTACACAACTTAAAGGTGAAATCCAACTCATCTATAGTTTTACACTCAAAAACTTATCATAAATAATACCGTTTATCTACATCCACTATCTAGTAAAGGCTGTACTAAATATTTCATAATCTTTAATGAGGTGTTATAACAATTTAGAATGATAAGTGGTTAAGTGAACCAAAAACTATCACATTATTTTGTTTATTGTACTTTTGTGGGTTACTAGAAAAACTTTGTTCGTATTCATATTTAAAAACCTTTAGTGGAGTCATCAGGAAAATAAAACAGATATACATAGTTTCTGGCAGTCGTTTTATAAATCACGTTATCTGCGTTCTTGTTCCAACAAAATACTTTAACTGTTTAAATCGCGATATATATTTGTTAATTTACTTACTTATTTGAAAATTATTTTAACTACGGACTGACATTTCGCATGCTTTGCAGCAGCCATGGTCACGAAGATAATAATTTATGCCGCGTTTTAAACCGTTAGTGTTATATTTAAAAGTGTACTACTCGTGTAAACTACAGACAGTATTTAATCTTGTTGTTCATTTAATAACTTATTCAATAATTAATATTATTCGTTGACAAGAAAATAATAAGTTCCTTCTAAATGCCTAAAGAATTCCTGTTATTCTCTGTATCATTAAATGTACGATAACTATAGGATAGTGTTAGCGAATCGCGCAAAAAGTTATAGCGTACGATCACGTCGTATTTAAGTTGCGATTTGGGTCCCGTTACACCACTGCTTCCCACCCACAGACTATTTCGTTCGTCGACCCTGTTTCATGTTAGTAATGCGACTATATATTATTGTCATTAAATATGGCAACAAAATAATATCCTGAACACCTCTGCACGTCGTGACAAAAAAAGGATAATTTGGCTTTAGCTGTGCTTCACTCCATAGTTCTAATATTACTTCGCCGAAATTTCGAAGAAAGTTTATTTGCGTAAGCTAAAAACAAATAATTAGCAAACCAGTACTAGACCGTTGTTACTCTTAGCTGTTTAAAACTCAGTAGTTATATAATAATTAATTAACATCCCGACGTTTCGGATGCTTTGCAGCAGCCGCGGTCACAGGGAGAGATACAAATTCTCACTTTTTTTAATGTACATTCTTTCTTCGCTTCTCTGTCAAGACCTTTTTCAAATTTCTATTCTTAATTCATGCCACGCACATAATTACTGTCTAAATCACATCGCCCGACAACTTGACCTCTCGCTAGCTACTGAAGAAGGTCTTCGTTAAGTATGCAGAATGCTTGAGAACCTTGCGGACTTGGGGTAAATCTTTCCTCTATATGACTAAGCAGGTTCCGATTCGTCCTTGTTAATCTTCGTGGTATCCTGCTAATCTTTGAGAACAAATAATACTGATCCTAGAATGTGTAATATAACTCTATACAACACCAGTGTGGTACTACGACCAAAATTAAATCAATATTGTTTTTTTAATCTGTCTTTGATTTTTTATTTTTTCTTGGATCTTTGTGTGAGTTTTGTTTTTAAAGTATTACGCTAACCTTTAAACGGATTTCATGTTTTTTTTTTTATTTTAAAGGAATTTATTCATAAGCAGTTAGCTCAGTTATATTGTATCTGTATTGTAGTCCCTGCATCGTTCTAAATGCACATTCTCTATAAATAAATAGTCACTAAAAACAACACAACACATCTGTACCTCATTATTCCAACATCCAACGCTCTATCTAGTCTATCTTTCTTGTTCCATAATTACCAGTTTTTAATGTTTAAGACTGCATACGGTTTTCTGAAGTATCTTTTAACAAACAGCTAGTAACCAATTTTCCAACCTTACTTCAAAGTAGCTTAGATGCAATATTATCTCTCAATGTCGATATAAAACTATATCCATTTTTAATCATACTTTGAAAAATAACTTGTATAAAAACAAGAATACTTTATGAATAGTCTGGCACCTGCAATTCAACAGATGCGCTCAAGACGAATACCGTTATTTTGTATACTTCAGGGGAACAATTTGCCCCCACTACAATATATCTATACTAATATATAAAGCTGAAGAGTTAGTTTGTTTGAAAGCGCTAACCTCCGGAACTATGGTTTTGAATTGAAAAATTATTTTTGTGTTAGGAACGTACGGGGGAAATTTTTCATATCTGTGGGTTTCGGATGCGTACGCTGCGAAAACGGTTGAAGACACCCAAAAAATATGTATCAAAGAATTAATTCCCTTTATGTTATCTAAAAAAAAATTCGCGATTCTATATGTCTATCTTTTAAGATTAACTTGCAAGAACGGCGGGAAGGGACGCGACCGACGTCTCGTGGGTTAAATTTATAAAGATCCAAGGGGTTTCCAAAAATGAATGTGAATGCCTTAAATAACGATTCTCGCTGACGAAGTCGTTGACACAGCTAGTAATTTATATCCGTGGAATAATGTTATCGTCAACGTTAGTCAGTAGTCGAGTCAGTAGCTTGTGTACTCATTCTCAGCTAGGTCAATGACTCAAGGGCATGGGAAGGCCGAATCATTCTTTGATAAAGGTATTACCTTAATAGATGCCATAAAATGTTATAAATAGATTGATTCGTATTATTGTAAGTAGATATCGGCCACAGTGTTACAAAGGTACATGAACCGGTGGAAGATTGCATCGGTAAATCATTGAACTAATTTCGAGTAATAAAAATTTAAAACAACTACCATAGTTGCATTAGAATGGTACGTTATTATAATAATTGTGACTATCGTTTAAGCGTTGTATAAACGCTTCAATAAAATTTAAAGAAGAAATGCATTTACTACTACCCACACAAAAGAACATACAAGACTCATTAATAAATATAAAAATAAAACTTCATTTAATCTTAACAGTATTAAAAAAATTGTATACTACTATTTAGTAGATTAGGATCATACTCAGCTTATATCAGGTCCTTTATTGAATTAAAACTAATTTTCAGTAAGTCCATAGAGTGTGGACAGCGGTGCCACACGCAAGTGAAAATAATGCGAAGAAAAAGAATGCATATTCTGTAAAATTGTTTAATTTGTATTCCGAATAGAAAAATTATATCACCGATGAATTCTAAAAATGTTATTTTAATTTTAGACCGGGCAAAACATATTGACCAATATACAGTGGTGCGTATGTGCGACGCGCTGTTGGCAACAAAATAACGTTTTGCTCCATTCAAATTATCGAATGTTTGCTACTGTAAACCACGTGTACAATATTAAAATCAATGAATTGTTTACTCTTGTAATGATTCAATAATTTTCTATTCTTGTCATACATCATGAATATGAGTGGGATAGCATGGTATCACAGACGTGTCAACGCATTCCAAATTTAAACATGTGGCGTGATTGTCGCGGGCCAACCAGTGAGATGCAATTAGGGTTGCCATTTAATTTTACTTTTATTTCGATTACCCGCTAAAATATAAACAGGTATTGGTAAAAGAGCCGCTTACTATTATATCATATAATAATACCTGCTAAGTACTGTAGTAATTACATACAACTTTTTACAACGAAATGTTCTCTTGAGACTTTTATAGTACAAGTAAAATGTTCATATAACTGTATTATTCTTTTTATTTTGGCAATTATTATAAAACACTTTTATCTATTTTAAACTAAATATATTAGATGACTTATATGTATTTAATTTATTTTACTAGATCGGGCCGTTTCGGATGTCTTACTGTTAGCTTAAGTCACTGAGAAACAGAAGATGGACGGTGTCTCTAATATCTATGTGGAATCTGCTACTCTATTTCGTCGCAGTTGATAATAACTTACATAAATCGCGATAAAAAAAAGTTATTTAAATTGTTCTACTCGCGTGAACTACAGACACAACCCAATTAATTTAATCGATGCTAAATCATCACAGCCCTACTAAGTGCGTCGACCTCTTGGCAAATAATGCATAAATTGAAATACGTTGTATTGTATATTAATTGTCTGTATATGTCCTATTTACCTGAAGGTGTGACATAAGACTATTTACAAACCAAACTTTGTAAATAAAATAAATAGTCTTATGTTTATCACTCCAAGTTATTTATTTTAGAATAATAAACAATGTTCAGTAATTTTTATTGAAAATTGTATTTACACAGGTGTGAATCGAAGCCGCGTCACTCCATTATTATATATTTTTTTTACTTATGAATTAAGAGTAAATTTATTTTATTAAATTTCATAGGTCAAGTCTCTAATATGGAGCAAAGGGCAAACATGTTACCTTTTTTTTCCAATGATTCAAACCCAGGACTATATAACTAACGCACTACCATTCCCGTGTATGTGTTACTGAACGTATTAAGAGACGTTACAGCAAATTGTAGTCAAACTGGTTATCATACAATGCTGAATAGTGACATTCCTCTCTTCTCTCATTTCAGGAGTCGTGGCAAGATCCGAAGGTGTCGGATTCAGGTGCTGTCATTAATATCTTGGATATCGGAAGAAAGACATTCGCCAATGGTGGAGTTATCTCTCGTTATTTCTGCGATTTGGCGCAATGCATCTTCCTCAACATGTACGTGTACAGAGATGTCGCGCCCACCGTAAGTATTTTTTACAAATGTTATAACTAGCTGTGTTAGCGACTTTGTTCGCGTAGAATAGTTATTTGGGTCATCCAAATTTGTTTTGGCGAACCTCCTTCTCATCTTTATCAAATTAAGTTCTGTTTTTTTTTCTAGATCATTTAAAAATGAATCATTTATTCATATATATTTTTGCACGTTTCGCGTACGAATCGGAGACCCACAAAGATGAATAGTTTTTTTCTCATTTCCTGCTGTTTTTTCGCTACTATAGCCTTCCTCAAATGCTACAACCAAGACAAAAACAATTTTTCAATTCGAACCAGTAGTTCATGAGATTATCGCGTTCAAACAAACAAAGTACAAACAAACTGTTCCGCTGAAAATATTAGTATACAATCTTTTCATAGAAAATAGGAAGTATGTAAACTATAATAAAAGTATAGATATTAGATACATCTGGCATATATGACTTGCATATTATTTATCGTTACTTAGAAAACGTATACTATAAGGAATTGACTCCTTAAAGCAAGCAAGAATAGCAAGTTCTCGTTATAATGTTTTTTTTTAATTTCCCTTGCCCGTTGAGGGTATCGTATGCATTAAGACCACGTATCTTTTAAAATACGTGTAACACCGATCGATGCACTAGTATTATAGTGAAACCAAATTCGTGACACTTGCCAATTAGTTATTAAAGCCCTGAATCATTATTTACCTGTATCACGCCACTTTTATGAGTAATGATATCCACAGAATATAAACAAATAAAAATCTTCCTGCCATAATGCAAGACCTTGTAATCATCTGACCTCATTTTTGTTAAATATAGATTTTATCATATGTTTATATTTACGGCCCGCAATTTACTGTTTAAAGCTTTGTAATTTTACGCTAATTTATAAACAATTGCATTATTAAAACTTAATAAAGTTGCTTCCCGATGTATATATAATAAATTATATAAGCCCATATGCAAAAAAACTATAAAGCCACTTTAATATTGTGTATGTTTTAAATTCAAGTTTAAGCAGTTTTTTTTTTGGGGTAACACATCAATTTAAAGACGTTAATCTACGAGAGCACAGTGACCTAAAATTTATAAATAATTGTTACACAAATAATAAAACAAAATAAATTTCGCCTTAATTAATTGCGTATTTGAAATTTCGTCCTTGATGAAAATCATGGACGAAATTTTGGTCAAAACTTTGGTCAAGTAACAACTCAGCCTCTAAGAGCCTTAAATAATTATTTTATTTTATTAAGTTCTGTCTGCGTATAACTCTATTTGAAATATGTATATTCCAACAGGTAGTAAAAGATGAACGTTTCCAAAACGCAATAGAAGAAAGAACCCGAGAGGAGACGAAGAAGGAGAAAGGAGAAGACGAAGAGTCTCGGTACGCGGCTGCCAAGAAGCGAGTGGAGGCTAAAGCGATGAAGGTGCTCATGGACATCAGCTCTGCCATGTCCAACAATGTCTTGAGGTAGCTAATTATATTATAATATAGCGCTTTCTCTATATAATAACAAAAGGATACAAAAATTTTGTTTTCTACTGTCTGTAGTTTACGCGATTAGTACACATTTAAATGAAACACTAACGGTTTAAAACGCTCTCCCCATGACCGTGGCTGCTGCAAAACATCCGAAATCCGAAAGATCGGGCCTTAGTTCTAATTTATATCGCGTTTTAAACCGTTAAAGTGTTTTATTTAATTTTTGTTTTCTGTTGCACTGAAGAGTCTTTTTTTTCTATGCTATGTAATTGCCATTATTAAAGGGAATCAAAGCAGTATTATTATCGAAAGTAATAAAAATACTAATAAAAAATCACTCTGCGTTGAATTGTGAATCACGAATATTGCGGCGTGATAGCGATATATCTTTATTGTCTAGTGTTTTATTGTTAGCGAAATAATAAGGTTAATATATTTATAAATAGTGTTAGAGTTAAAAACCTCTTATGAAGAGTTTTCATCAAAATTATATTTAAATAAAACACTTTATCGGTTTTAAATCGAAATATATTAGTTAAACTTATTCGCCAAATATCAACTACGGCCAAATGGCGCTAGCGTAGCAGTTTTTACTTTTATATCTCTCCATCTTTAGTCTTCCCGTGACCACGGCTGCTGCAAATCGTCTTAAACGTCGGGCCTTAGTTAAAATAAGTTTCAAATAAGATTAACTAATATATGCGATTTAAGCTGTTAAAGCTAGAAGATAAACCTAATTTATAATGCTATTTCAGACTAGTGGCGTGGGTGACGCACAAAACAGTGCGTCGCGTGGCAGACGGCGGCTGCGGTACACGAGCTGCCTGCGTGGAGAGACTTCAGCGAGCAAACGCAGCTGGTCTACCGCTAATCTTCGTACCGTTACATCGGTCTCACTTTGACTACGTACTCGTCACTTTCACACTCTACTTGACCGGTCTGAGACCGCCTTTAGTCGCTGCTGGTGATAACATGCGGATACCTTTCTTTGGGTGGGTTTTTTTTATTTGACACTCATTTTTGAGACACTTATTTGTGTTATTCATTACTAAATAGTTACAGTAGTTAGACATAAGTAAGTAGTTCTTAAAAGTACTATATTTTCTATATAAAAACATTTGTTTAAGGCTATCAAAAGACAAAACTTATGTGAATATATCATTCTATACTAGTCCTCTACTAGAATCCTAAGTGTGTGATTGATATAAAAACTAAATGCCTTTTCAGTTGGTTCTTGCGGGGTTGCGGCGCGTTTTACATTCGCCGTCGTATCGAAGGGTCAGATTACCACGAAGACCCCATTTACAAATCGGCACTTAGGTGGGTATTAAATATTATTTTGTAAAGATATATTATTAGTAGTAACGAACGTAAAAAAATGTTACCATATTAATATCCTCTCTTATTTAAGTTTTTGTTTTAGAATATGGAAAATAAATAATTGCAAAAGAGGTTATTTTATGTGTGTCTGTAAATTTGTATGTATAATTATTATAAGGCATTTTTATAATTTTTCAGGGCGTATATTCTGAATAGTTTAGCTGAAAAAAACAATCTCGAGTTCTTTATTGAAGGTGGACGTACCCGAACTGGAAAACCTCAACCGCCAAAAGGTATTTTATTGTTTTATTTTAAGGAAATAGATAAATTGAATCTTTTCATTTAATCTGATATCGTAGCGATTCAAAAAACTGTGTATATAAAGTTATTATAATTTTTTCGCTGCATCAAAGGAAATATTATTGGTAAGATTTATTTGCCTTGATAATATAATTTAAAATAAAAAATCACAACTACCGAAATAATCCTACTTCCTAATAATTGAATAAATTACAACAGTCAATAAAAAAAAATTAAGGCGTACTTTTCAATCGGGCATAGCTTGACGAGCTCACGAGTTACCACGACTTTGATCCCCAACGTGACATTTTTCAGCAAAGTAGTGGGTAGTTTGCTGAAAAATGACATTTTTTTACCTACCTACCGCCTACAATGATATTAATTACACATAATTCCATTTCAGCGGGCATATTATCAGTAATATTAGAAGCGTACTTGGAAGGTACCATTGACGACGCACTATTAGTGCCAGTGACATTAAACTATGACAAATTGGTTGATGGAAACTTCGTGAGGGAACAATTGGGTATGCCCAAACAGATGGAGACGTTTTGGTCGGCGTTGAGAGGTATCTGGAGGCTTCTGAACACTAATCACGGTAGCATAAGAGTGGATTTCAATCAGCCAATATCTTTGAAGGTAAATTCACAATTATTACAATATATTAATAGTTTATTATGACAGAACAATAAGTTAACTTTTTGTTCGAAGTGTATATTGTTGACTAACCCTTTTTCAATAAAGTTTACTCATATTGTATCACACCCCAACATCATTTCGTGATATTTATTTGCATGCTAGCAAGATCCAGCGTATTAACCTCGATAAGTAATTTTCTCAAAACGGGATTACGGGTATTCTACTTTCAATTGTAAGTTTTCTTAGGCTGAAGGTCTTATTTACCATTCCATCTTTTTACCGGGTCTCACTCGAGAACGTTTTCTAAAGAAGTACCTTTCAGGAGTCTAACGATCCGTGCCTACGTTCATCATGATTAATGCCTTTTCACACTCATCACTCAATATAATAAATATAGTAGTGTAGAAATCATAACTGAATAAATAATCAATTTGCAGGAACTAGTGACATCTTTCCAAAAGTACAACCATCTAAAGGCGCCCATAGAGAGACCTTTATCACCAATGAACAACAATTTGACAGTGGATCTCGACAGGCACATGCTCTACAACAACAGTCACAGCAGCTTCTACGGCGCAGACGTTAGCGCTGACCGCAAGATGATGGTGGAAGCCATAGGCAGACATCTGGTTTATGGTACGTTGTTTTATTCTCTTTACGTCATTCGCGTAGTCTTTACGTTGTGTACGTTTAGTTTAAATAACCAATGGAATGGGCATTAACTAAAAATATGTATGTATTAAAAAAAAATATTTTAGACTTTTTTTATATTTAGTATTCCTTTACTAACCCAATCCATCCGAACAAAAGGGATCTTTTGTCTTCAGGGAATAGAGAAATATCGGAACTTGTAAACAGATTCAATATTACAATAATTATAATGCAAATAAACACTTTAGCAGGTTTAAACCTGTTTCATTCACGATATGCTTTGAAATTACAGATGCAGCTAAGTCAACGGCGTTTATGTGCACTAACGTTCTGGCGTACGTCCTTCTCACGGAACAGCGGGCCGGCTGTTCTTTAAAGCAACTGCTAGCTAGTTTCGAGGAGAGATCTCGGGCTCTGTCGAGAGAGGGCCGTGATTTGGGATACGCTGGCGATTCGAGGACTGTGATCAAACATGCCGTAAGGAATATCATAGATTGTTTTTGATTACTCGGAAATGTTTATATATAAACACTTATTTGACTACGGCCCAACGTTATGGACGCTATGCATAAATTTTGACCTCTTGTGACCACGGCTAAAAATAAATGTAAAAATCGAAAATAAATGGAAAAAGTGCAGGACTTGAACTGGCATTGTCAGCGTTTGAATTTTTTGTTTCGATTTTTCAATTATTTAGCGCCATCATGAATAATGTCATATTATTTACTATTTCTGTTTTCATCCGTCCTGCTTAGGTCACAAAATTAAACCTATTTTTCACGCCAGAAAGGTCCATTTGCTTTTTCACCTTTGGCTGTCGCTTCGTGCTTCGGTCGGAATTTTTATACTCTTAACAAAATATACGCGATCTATAATATAAATTAATCTTTTCGTTCTGTTTCCAGTTAGACATGCTCGGCCGTGGTCTTGTGATGCGCGAATCGGGTCGTATAAGGGCACACACTTCGATAGCTGCGTCGCTGGAACTAGCCTACTATGCCAACTCGGTAGTCGCCCATTATGCCGCTCCGGCCATTGTTGGTAAGAACAAACGACTTTTGTATATGACTTTTTTATGGCCGAAAAGCATAGACAAGTATCGGGTTCACTTCATGGTGGTTGAAATACACCAACCATATTGCTTAAAAAAGATGCGCTATCTTATTTTTCTATCTAAATTTATGTAATAATTTTGTATAACAAAGAGATTCCTTCTATAATTTCTTTAGGCTACTAAGTGAAAAAATTCATTGTCAATTGTTTTTGTCATTACAGCTACGGCGTTGGAGAGTATATTACGCGAAGAAGGGGCAGAGCAAGAATACGTACGTCATAGTGACTTAATGGAGCGTTCCCTCCAAATGTGCGGTCTGATTGGCCACGAGTTTATACTGTGCGCACCGTGCCAACGGCTAGAGGAGAAGATACAGGATGCTCTCAGTATGCTTATACAGGCTGATGTATTAAGCTCCCTTCAGGTATGTAAACAAACCGAAAAGTTAAGTTAATCGCAAAATAAAACTATTACAACGGGTTTATATAAAACACTGTAATGGTATAAAACGCGGTATATATTAGTGAAACTTATTTGGAAATTATTTTAACTACAAATTCAAACTTTCTACTTCAGAATCAAAACGTATTAGACGAACAGCGGTGGTCGCAGCGCTTCGCGAAGAGTTTAGATGATGAAGAAGAGGAACGGCCCGACCCCACCAGAAATATCAAGTACAGGATCTCTACTAAACCAGAAGCACTCGCTGAGAGGTTAGTCTTTAAACTATTAAAATGAAACACTTAACGGTTTAAAGGGCGAAATATATTGGGAAGTACATTTTTAACGTTAGGGAACCATTTAATAGTAATCCCATAAACTTTAAACTAACTTATATTACTTATATGGGATAACAAATGAAATAATAATAAATTATACACAACTAGATATTTATTTTTACAGTCCCATTATATTTTCCTACTGAGATTACATAATTTTAGAACAAAACTTTTAATCTATACCAATATATAAGGCTGAAAAGTTTGCTTGTTTGAACGCGCTAATCTTAGGAACTACTGGAATTGAAAAATTCTTGCGTTGGCTAGAGTAGTTATCGAAGAAGGTTATAGCCTATAAAACATTGACCAGTGACTAATAAGAGCGAAGAAACAGCGGGAAATGTATAAAAAAGGGGCAAAATTATTTATCCTTGTGAGATTTTTCATGTGTACGCTGCGAAAACGGTGCAAGATACCTAAAGAAATATAGGAAAGGATGATTCAACTTTCAATGATCTAAAAAAAAGTCCGCGAGTGTATCTTATAGGATTAACTTCCAAGACGGACGGGACGCGTCCGACGTCATGGGTAATAGCTTAAATTTAAAAAGATGAAGGAACAAGGGAGGTTTGCAAATTTGTTGCCCAAAGTAACAATTCTACGCGGGCGAAGTCGCTGACACAGCTAGTTATATATATGTATATACGTTTTCGTTATTTATACAGTTACCAAATTTTCCATTTCTTAAAAAAATATACTTACTTTCCAGGCGTCGCCTTATAAAAACTGTCCGGCCTCTGCTTGAAGCGTACTCAGCCACGTGCAAGTGTCTAAAGAACGCGTCTCAAAAGGAAGTTGTCACAGAGACGCTAGATAAATTAACTGAAGACTTCTCACAAAATAGAATGATCTATGGTAAGTTTTGAATTTTAGAAGTGATTATTATTATGGTTGAAATGACATTGCGCGAGAGGTGCATGTATCAATGGGCTGGAAAATTTCGACGATGACGTGTAGGACTCGATAGCACAATTGGTTAGAGCAACAGCACGGAGCACTGTAGATACCGGTTCAAGCGTAGTCGAGTCGTAAATTCTTTCAATTTATAATCGATTTTTAATTTACTATAGTGCCATCATGTGTAAGGGCATAACCAGTGGAAAAGATTTAGTTTTCAACTAACATAACGCGTTGTAGACACGAATTAATAGTTTATGTAGGAAAATTAAGAAAAATAAAACTGATTAAAGACAACGCAATGGTATGGTAGCGACATATTGCTTGAAAATATTAGAAAATCCTCATGCAAATTTCAGGTGAAGCCGTATCAACGGACGCGATCCGCAACTGCTTACGCATCCTTCGACAGTGGGGCGTCATAGACATGTACACGGAAAACGACAAAGTGAGGAAGATGAGGATCATTCCACACCCGACTGCTACCCAGATTCGAGAGTCGATTCACAGGTTCAATGTGAACACACCTTTATTGGACAAGTGATATTGTGATAACAGTGCACGTGAGACATTTTCAGTGACATATTTACGCGTTGTATGTGTAAATGGGGGGATGACGTCATTTGGGAGAATGTGATTTTATTTTTACGTTAGGCTTAGTTAAGCGAACAGGGCAGTGATTTCAGTGTGTGAATGTAAAACCGCTTAATCAAAACCGGTTGTTATATCGAGACAATTTTGTTTACAAATATTTATCGCTTAACGCAATTTTACCAAAGTCGCTATTGGTAGGAGTGAGGTTTTTGAAATTGCTCAACCAATTAGAAAACCCATTTTATATGGTTATAGAAAACCGTTGATTGTCAATTTAAGGTAACCAATAGGTTACCTTAAATTGACAATCACGTAACGTAGAGTTACCAATAGGTAACTCTTACGTGAAGTGAAAAAGTATTGGCCTATAATTTTGTATACCTTTGCTTTAATGCGTGTTATATGTACGCTTCACTACTGGGTTTCATAAAATTATTTCAAAGATGTTGTGTTTGTATAATTGTGAGACGATAATTTCTCGCTTCTCTTTTGTACCAGTTTTTCTCAATGGCACCCTTGCAATGGTAATAATTATCTTAATAAAACACTTTTTAACGGTTTAAAACGCGAAATATATTAGTGAACCTATTTCGAGTGCGACGTGACATTTCGGATGCTTTACCGCAGTCAGGGGACTGAAGATGGAACGTGTCCCCAATGTCCAAGTCAAAATTGCCACGATAGAGCCGACTGTTTTAAACTATTAAGCAGTGTTTTATTCAAATATGTATTACTCACGTATTCTACGGACACAATTGATAAGTACAATTTATATTGTAAAATAGCTTTAACAACAAACATTGCATTTAAAGCTTACAAATATATTTTGTTGTAAAATTGTACTTTTGTACAACGTTCCCAGGTGGCTATTTTTTACAACGATTGCTGGTCGATCATTAGGAAGTGACGATAGTCATTAAGTTGTTCAAAATTCATTGTGCTGTTAATGTGATAAACCAAATTTGCATTCAAATACAACACTCTAACGGTTTAAGACGCCAAATCTATTAGTTAAACTTATTTCTAAACTATTTTAACGACGGCCTGACTTGCGAATGTTTTGTTAAAGATGGAGAGTGTCTCTAATGACTAAAGTAAATACTGCTACGCTAGCGCCATCTGTTCCGTTGTAGTTGGTATTTGGCAAAACTGGCCAGGTCCTTGCAGAATTGACTCACGGTGTCCGTTACCGTGTACCGTTTGCCGGTTTGCTGTTTCTTTGAATCGGGAGTTTTAAATATTGGGTCCCATCCGAAGCTTTGGGCTGTGGTTAAATAATTTTTGAATAAGTTTAACCAATATATTTCGCGTCTGAAATCGTTAGTGTTTTATTTAAATGTGTACTACTCGCGAAAAATACAGACGGCAACACATTTGTATTGAAAAATATATAAGCTGTATAAACATATAAATTCATCATGTAGTAATAGTTGATACAAGTATCAACTATGTAGTACGGGCCTTTATTTCTATATCTTATGATTGAGGATGACGGCGACATCTAGTGGAAAATTACTTGTAACAAGGTGTCTTGTGTTATTGACACAAATATTCTGCATATATGACGGAGTACCGAAATCTTGTATATGTGTGTGGTAATCAAAGCGGTGCGCGGCAAGAACAAAGAATATTTTAATAAAGTTTATATTCCTATGTATTTGTTTCTTATTATTGTTATTTCGATGAATTTCAACAACTATTTTGGGGTTATAACAAACATTCAGTTAGTAATAAATATTAGAGAAGCACCAAATTGACATATTGTGTGGAGCACAAAGGAATCGCACAGAATAATTATGAATGTGTTTAATAAAAATTGTAATTTTGTACAAACTACAATTTGTGTCATTGTTGTACTGGATTTTCATGGATTTAAATAAAAGCTACAATTTATATCACTATTTAATAAAAAGTATACACTGATATAATAATTAATTACAAGAAAGAATCAACCTTACAGTAAACAATAGTGTTACAAGACAACACAAGCTATAATATAAGATACTAACATACAAATTGAAGAGTGTAAAACTGTAAATTAAGAAAAATAATAATTGCGTATTACTCAACAACAAGGGATTGTAGAAATTCTGAATAGTTAGAAAACTGTTATATGATTATTGATTCAGTAATATATGCAAATGTTCGTTTGTGTCATCCCAATGAATAAAGTAGAGGATGATAACGTAAAAATACGTTACTTAGTTTAATTCAAGTATCACGTCATATTCTTCCGCGCAAATACTTCTACCGCCATTGTCGCGTATAGCGCCAATTTATTCGTTTAATGAAAATAACAAAAAGAGTTCGCCCATCTTTGCCTCCTTAGTAGACTTGTGATTTTGCGACGACAAATGCGAGTACAAATCTTGGATGTTTCCCAGTACCAAGTTACAGTAACCGCAATGATAGTGTCCGGCTCGTACCTGAAAACATTAAGCTATTAAAAAAAGGAAATGTTCACCAAAATCTGATCCGTATGGAGTTTAGGAGAGGTGTAAGAAATCGCTTTCTTTAGTGTTATGAAATGGCGGGGTTGAAACCCGCAGGTCGGGGACCGTTCAAGTATTACGTAAGCACTATAGGGGGGTGGGGGGTCTTTGTTTTGCTTATTTTTGATGACATGGGGGGTAGGGGAGTCCAGATGATGATTACGTCATCGATATTTATTTACTTTCTGAATCAACTTTCTTATTTTTAAAATTATAATATAAAAAAATACATTTTCAATTGTAAAATGTTTACGTAAGCACGAGGGAGGGGGTAAAAGCTTTGCTTACTTTTGCTGACAGGGGGGATGGGGGGGGTAAATAATTGTAATAAATCTGCTTACGTAATACTTGAACGGCCCCTCGCCAAACATCGTATTTTTAATTTTGTGTGTATTGCACTCCGAGGATAAAAGGTATAATGAAAATTTTAATAAATACTTAAATATGAGTTAATTAGTAAATATTCATATTTACCTCTCTAACAAATTCGTTTACACCAACAAATACGACATCAGTTTTTATCATTGCTTTCATATGTGTCGGTGTGCCAACGTGTAATTCTATTCCGCGAAATTGCACGTTCACTTCACACGCCTGACACCTGATCACTGTGCCATTGAATGTCATGAAAAGAAAGCTTAAATACGACACTAAAATTTTTCTGTTAATCGCAACGAATCTAGGTATCGGCTCGTGCGGTTTTTGGAATTCATTGAAAGTATCAATAAATAAACACATTGGGACCTTCAGTAATTCATTTCTGGGTTGTGCTGTAATTTTCTTCTTTTCCATTTTCAGTTTTTCCATGTGTTTCTCTTCTTCTATATGATCCTTTATCATTTTAATGGATGAAGATATTGTAACGTTGCAAATCTTGCAATAGGCGCTTTGCTTACCCGGTTTGTAATTTATATGGTTCTGCTTACAGAGCGATCTCGCTTTCTCAATCGCTGCAAATGGGTGAACCAGTTCTGTATCATTTCCCCCTGGACCCTTATGTTTAACCACTTCCTCTGATTCTTCTATTGCAATTTCTTCAGGTTTCTGATTATTCTCTTTTCTAGTATTTTGCTCATCCTCAGCCTCATCTTTATCCTTCGATGAAGACCTTTCTTCAGGTTTTTCGATAACATTCTCAATAATTTGCGTGTTTTGCTCTTTACCGATTTCAGGGTTAACAATCGACGCAACTTGCTTTTCTAAAGTATTTTTCTCTTCGCATCTTTGCCGGTAATATCCCAAGTGGTCCTCACTTTCAAAGTGGTTTTTCATCTTTATACTCTCTATGTTTATGTTACATATCAAACAATGAATAGTACCGTTAACCTAAAAAGAAAATAGTGTATAAAATCATCAATCAATAAAAAACGAATTTAAAAAGCAAAGAACTCCAGTCCTTTAATGTAAAACGAGAACGTATCTAAGTTGACAGAGGTCTACTTTACTAGAATATTAAATTAAGAAAATGTACCATTGTTTTCTTAGACATAGCTTGAGTTAAATAATAATATACTCACGTCTCTATATACAATCTTTGGATTCTTCAAAACCACCTCTTGTTGAATTAGCTGTAGGATGTGTGCAGAATTCTCTAAGTGTTGACTTTCATCTGTGTATTCGACATTACAGAGCATGCATGTATCCCCCACTAAACCGTGCCACGCCTTTTTTCCAATAAGCACCTCACGATAAGCAATTACTCCTTCGTTCACTTCTTTCAGGAGCATGATTCCTTTACGCCTCTCGTGGTTCTCAGATGATACATGCAACTCCACATGAGCCATCGTTGGTACAAGAATATTGCAGAATTCGCAATAGTACCCCACGTTCACCTAAAAAGTACTCACAATTAAATGGTGCTTTATTAATTTACTGTGTAATTATATGGGATATAGTGACGTGAGAAATCCAATCTCCGCATGTGAAGGCTCACGTTCCAGCTGTGTGAGAAGATCCACTTGCGACGGCCTCTATGACTCGTTAGACTCGAAAGGTTCTGTGGTCGAATCCCGGTGAGACAAAAAAAAACAATGCGTTTTTAAACCTATAGCATAATACTGAATTGATTTACGACACAAATTTACCTTTCGGATATGATCTGACTGATATTTCTTAACATAGCTAGATCGTTCGAACTTCTCCTTATGCCCCTCCTCCAAGATATGCGACTCTGTCTTCTCTTTAGTAATATGCACCTCGCAAAGCAGACAGTAACCGTTGAAGTATCCAGTAATGACGCCGTTACTGTGAAGGCTCGACATTTTGATCCTGGAATAAAATAAGTGTAATGAGCGACGGCCCCTCTAAGACTGTCTTTTATTTATTGTACCCCGTCTGAATCCTTAGCGGAAATGTATCAGCAGTCCACTTGAGATATCGTACGTAAAATGCATAGGTTTCTTTAGCTTGTGTAAACAACTACAAAGTTGGCCGAAACCATAATATTTACTTTGTAGTCAGAAAGCGTTATTCATTAAAATTTAATAGGTACATAGTAGCAGAGCTTTGAATTTGTTACTTAACAATAAGTTAATAGAATTTATTTCGTCATGTTCCAGGTAACAATAAAACGTCATGTTAAGTTTCATATTGGGGCTTTTAACTTTGTTTAAGAAAAAAATCCCCGGGTTAAAACCCTACGACTGAAAAAGTAGTATTATACGTATGGGCTGTGGGGTACTTCACCTTCCATTAAGTAAACCCCCACGCATGTCTGTTAACGGTCATTTCGGTTATAAAGGGTTCGAAGATTTAAAATTGTATTATTAAATTTTATTTATTTTAGTAGATATGTATTATCTCTTTTTGTATATTAAGATTAAAATATGTTTCCGGTGTCCATTTTGTATATAATTGAATCTGTGTGCGTTTTGACAGCGTTGACATATTACAATTATCAATTAAACAACACTTGATGATAGTCTGCGCATGTAGCTAATGTCAAGTTATTCAGAAAAGTCAGTGTGCTGTCAGTAACAGTATGTTGTCGGTTGTTTGGGATGAGTGCCGTGTTGTGCCTTTTGTTTGAATAAATTCGACTTTTTAATTTATAGTAAGTACAAAATAAAAAATATGAAGTGTGCGTAGTTTTAGTTGAGTGTAAATTAATGGTGACATGTCACATAATACAATTAGTGGCAAAATGCTTAAGTGTTACAGTGTTTATACGCGATGCCTTCTTGTGAGTTTAATTTTATTAGCTTTGACAAAGGACTGCGTCGAGTCTCAGGAATTAAGTGAGTATCTACTTATTTTACATCGGAGTACTTTTTTGTTTTATACGATCCTTACGCAAATTGTCTTGCCATGTTTTGTATAAGATGTTTTTCAATTTGACATCTCACAATTTATTTTTATTTAGACCTAATTTGTGAAGTTGTCAAACTCCCAATCTACTCATTATTAATTACGACCTTTTAAATTATTTATATTTGTTAGTAAAATTCTCTATTAATTACGATTATCATAACCTAGATAACATTTTTAACTGATAATTAATAATATCATTAACTCTAAGTTTCCCAGCTACTAAATATTATTTCAAAGTATCTATGACATTGTAAACATTTAATTGATTTAAATATTCATTTTTTACTTCACATTCCCTTATTGAGAGATTATATTGCGAGAGTTTTGAACATTTAAAAGTAGAAAAAGATATTTAATATAACATATTTTAAAAAGTGATGTATTTGTCAGTATAGATAAGCTGTACTAGAAAATCTATGCAATATATTTATTTCATTGCAAGTGTAATTGGTGATCTGAATCTTTTGCTTTTAGTCTTGTAATGACACAAGCTTTAAAAGCGTTTAGTTTACTTTATGTTGAATGCAATGCTTTTTTATATTACATAAAAATAAACTAAGCTTTTGTCTTGCCTGATGAAACTACTAAGTACCAACTTACAAGTATTAATTTTATAATTATATAATTTTTTGTAACGGACATATCGATATTTAACTTCTAATTATTAATGTAGTCTTCTTGTATATAATATGTCATGTATAGGACCATCTCTGTAGCTAAACGGTTATATGTGTTGCCAAGCATTGTGCTAAGCGCAAGATGTCCTGGGTTCATATCTTGGGGATACAATAGATTGTACTAGGTACTTGACTTAATAAAACACGATCAGCGAAATTGACATTAAAAGTAGTTTGTTTGATGGGGTAATTAGACTCCACATTTAAATGTCACAAATATTTATTAAAACTATCTACCACATGTCCTGAAATGATTATATAGTATATGCTTACTAACATAAAAAAATATTAAAGCATGTCTTGTCTTTCTCTGTTAGATGTGAAAGTACAAGAAAAAATGTACCACATGTTTTTATTTTTTAATTTTGAGGGCTGCCAACTAAAACTTTTGATAACATGTACCGTTTCATTATAGGTACTTACTTTAAATATTTTTGTTATTGCTTTATGTAAATTTATAGCTTTGTGCACATAAATTAATAACATTTAAAAAAATCATGAATACTCAATTGGTAGGGAAACAGCTTTTAGTATAGTTCTTTGATTTTTTAATCTAAAAACAATTGAATTTAAAATGTTTTAATGTTCAGTAAAATACTTTAACATTCAAATTATTTATAATTGTTTAAGTAGGTATGTACTCATTTGTTTGGTTAGTATTTTTTGGTGATTAAATTTTAAATTTTGTGCACCAGTGTTATGTAAAATTGGATTATAATATTTTATGATATTTAAGTTAACACATAGAAGAAATTACTTATGATTTTCAGCTTTTAGTTTTGTTACTCCTTTTTCTAATTGATCAATTGTACATGGTTGCGTTTAGCAATGAATTGCAGTAAAAGTTTCATATCGCCGGATATCCGTCGACAGTTTCCGCCGTTGCGAACCACTGACCGCCAATGAGGCTGAATTAATTTACATTGTGCCCATATTTATTTTATATTCGTTTATGTAAAAAGAAGACTTAGCTTCAGCATCCAAACAAATGAGATTTAAGGCACTAGGTAAAACCATCAAACATTTAGGTAAAATTTTATCTTAAAATAAATAATTAGAAATATGTATTATGTTTAGTCAAGAAAAGTAAATACAACAAAAATCGCGTCTAAATATTGTTTCACAAACGATCCCTAACGATTATGAATGTGGAATAACCAAATAAAAAAAAAGAAATACGAATTTTCAGTCCCACATTTTTTTTAAATCCAATTATTTTAAACGTAACGTTTAATCAATGTTCGACGTTGATGTGCTTTTATATATTATTATAAATATTTCAATGAAATCGTTGACCATAACATGTTAGGAAGTTGTCACTCATATAACATTTATTTATAAGGAATACAATTGGCTTGCTTAAGTCCAGCTTTACCTAGACAACATACTTATAAGCATTTCCTGACAAATAAAATATAATTATATAGGTAACTGCATTTTTAAAACTGTTTGTAGCCTAAACAGCAAAAATGTATTTAAAATAGAATACTTAAGTAATGAAGTACTTTAGTCAGTCAATGATTTACGGAGTAAGTAGTACACAATTAAATAAAAAAGAAACGCAAAATGTATCAGTGAACTTATAATTAAGTTAAGAAGTTATCAATTTTATTTTAAACTTTGCAGCGTGGTCACGGGGGATCCGAAATGTCAAGAAGCCGCAGTTAAAATTAATTGTAAATAAGTTAATTATAATATTATGCGATGTTAAAGTGTTTTTAATAAGACCATATTAAAAGTGAGATTAAAGTCTTAGTCAGTATTTGGTCTAAATACTGTATAAATTAGCATTCGTGGTAATTAAATACTGTCTATAGTTTACGCAAGTAGTACACATTTAATTAAAACACTTTAACGGTTTAAAACGCGACATATTAGTTAAACTTATTTGAAAATGATTTTTAACTTCAGCCCGACGTTTCGGATGCTTTGCAGCAGCCGTGGTCACGGGGAGACTAAACAAGTTTAACTAATATATCGCGTTTTAAACCGTTAAAGTGTTTTATTTCAATTCGTGGTAATGTAAAAATAATTAATTCAATATTTTTAGTCGCGTGAGCAGTACAGCAATGATTAAGTTGCGGATGCAAAGTAGAATAGCAAACTGTCGGTCCGCAAGTGAATCACAATCGATTTCCTATGGAGTACGGACGCATTGGAAATTCTGACTCATGCGTTGTTTTATGCTAATTGCAACCTCAGTGTACTTGCTTATTCGTATTATATGTTGTGCCAAAGTATTTAAAGAATCTATTATTTTGGCGACCCTATATTTCTAAACTAAAACATTTTATAATTACAAAGAAGCTTCCTTGCTATTGCTATATATATGTAGATTCATAGGTTTCTTCCAATTTCTCGTTGTAAAATTTGAAATGAAAATTAGCACCGTGAATTCTTGTAAAGTACACGGTGCAGAAAAAATCCTTAATAGTAATAACTAAAATGTACCCACCCATAAAAGAACGATAGCTTCCGCCTTTGACAAAACAAGATAACACTCGTAATATCAATCATAATCCCACAAGAAAACCATGTTTGTAATTAAACCCTGGGATTGTTTTAACACAAGTATCGTTCGGGTGTAAAATAAAAGTAGAAACGCCAGGACAACGTCCTCGACGACAACAGCTGTTTATAGATTGCCCAGCCGCGTTGATCCCGGGACTGCGTCGAGAGATACGCCACCAGGGGCCCATGTGAATGGTGATGGTATTTCTGTAGCTCTTGTATGGGAATGATCACTTCCACGGAGTCACGGAGCGTTTCCTTCGCGTGACGTCATGTCCGTTTTCTTTTTGTTCGTAAATGTGTGATTTGAATGTTCATTTTTTGTATTGTTGTTTTATGGACGTGAAGACTTAACTTTTAATCAAAATTTGGTCCTAATTTTAAAATAATATCATAAAGCTGAAGAGTTTGTTGAAACGCCCTTATCTCAGAAACTACTAAGTACTTAGTTCGAATTGAACATTATTTTTGTGTTGGTTTGTTTAACCATTTATCGAGGGATCCTTTAGGCTATAAAACCTCAGGGTTCAACTAATAAGAGCGAGAAAACAAAGGCTTTTGCATGCGCCGCGAAAGCGATTCAAGACACCAAAAATATGACCCCCGTGACCACAGCTGCTGCAAAAGCATTCGAAACATCGTGCCGTAGTTAAAATAATTTTCAAATAAGTTTAACTCATATATATTTCGTTTTAAACTGTTAAAGTGCTTTATTTAAAGGTAATTGGTATCGAAGGTAATTAAATTAATTATTACAATTGTTA